GCAATACTAAGCTTGGATTTCTCATGCACTTAACATTACTCGATACATAATCAAACCACATTCAATAATGAAATACTCCATTCACAATCTCTTGTTCAAATCAAGAATATCATGCAATCGAATTCAAGATTCTAGGTTAGCTACTCCTATTATAATGAATTAACATGCAATCGCATATAATCAATTTAATCACAATTCGTTTATCAAAATCAACCCTCAATTACATAGATTACCTAGGCCGGGTTTCATCCCAAAACCCTAGCTAGGAGACTACTCACACATATTCATAATCAAAGCAATAATGAATTCCAAAAGCATAATAGATCTAAACATGAATTCTGATTAAGGAATAATAAAGCTTAATTAATAAACAAGAATGAATAATACCAATTGTATTGATGCGAATCAATGACAAAGTTTGGAACTTTGATATCCGATGTCAATGAATAATAAAAAGAATCCCAACGAATCTTGCTTCGAATCAATCCGGAAAACTAAAATCGCTAGAATAATCTTTAAGAAAACTAATGAATCTCTAAAACCAAGAACGTTCTCCAATAACTCTCTACAAAGGCTCTCAAAAACTATCTCTAAATCTGCCTAAAAATGCCCCTTAAAATCGGGCCTTATATACGTCTTCTAATTCGGAGAAGTCAAGCGCGCAGTCAACCTTGGATCAGCACGGCCGTGCTAGCTCGTCAGTTGCTAAACCGGATTTCTTCTTCAATTTGGCACGGCCGTTCTATATTTGGCACGGCCGTGCAGCTGCCTGGCACGGCCGTGCTAAAAATGACACGGCCGTGCTGAATATGCTCTAGCGCGAGGCTCATACTGAAGCTGACACGGGCACGGGCAACATCTGGCACGACCGTGCTAATGGCCTGCACGGCCGTGCTGGTGCGTGGATACTGACACGGTCGTGCTATTGGCTTGCACGGCCGTGCTGCCTTGCCTGGGGCTGCTTGCTCATAGGCCAGCACGGGTGTGCCTATGGTAACACGGCTGTGCTGCCTGTGCTATGTAATCAATGCACGGCACTTTAACTTCCTTAACTCCTCGGACTTCGGTCAAGGTAGCTCGGTTATGCATCAAGGGCTCGGGATCTGACTAAACTCGGTTGATATTACCTAAAAACACATCAAAAACAAACCGAAAACCCGTGAAGCACGTAATATAGGGGACATAAGCATAACAAGGTAATAATCGGCCAAAACGGCCCCAAATACATCCAAAATCATCCTAATATATGCTCTAAACATGCCCTAAAGTGCGCTTGTCAACTACCTTTGCTGATGTCAAAGTTGGGCGGCCGATGATAACATTGTAGCTAGTGAGTTCTTTAACAACTACGAAGCATACAACCATGTCCCTTCCTTCACCCTTCTGCCTAAATCAAACGAGCAAGTCTATCCGTCTGACGGGGTGGATAATGCTCCCACCAAAACCCACCAATAGATGGGAGATATCCTTTAGGACATCTTCTGGGAAATTCAAATTCTTCAAACATGCTGATTATGTTGGACGAGCTGCCTGTGTCTATTAGCACTCGTCCAACCTTCAGATTGGCGACTTTCAAGATGAACACCATGAAAGATTTATGTCTTCGTTAAGTGCAATTACTAGACATATAATGGATCAAATTATGGAGATAATTAAATTCGTCCACTTGGGTCATCGTTATATCATAGCTAGAGGTACTAATTATCTTTGGGCTAGTAAAATAGGCCAAAGTCTGATTAGACGGATCCTATAAGGTCACACAAAGGGCCTAGATCAAGCATAAGAGGACGAGGCCCATGATGGGCCTCATTACTCTAGGTGGTCGGCCTTGAGGATGGTTTGGAGGGTTTATGGGCTTCTTAACCTAGTCTAATTATAATAGGATTATAAATAGACTAGGTGCCTAGGTTTTTACATAGAACAGTTATACTGTTAAGTTGAAACCCTAATTAGCAAACATGAAACCAAGCCTCTTAAACCTCCCTCTCTCTCACGGTTCTCCCCTCCCCTTAGGCGGCGGTTGTGTGCTCGTGGTGGTGGTGTTCGTGTGGTGTCTGGTTGTCCAAGGAAGGTGGTGATCGTGGATTTCCCTTTCACTCGACCAATCTAGCATTGGTAGACGCTTGATCAAATCTTGTGGACTAAGTAGAGAAGTCACACTTAGGGCTCTATTCTCTCCCTGATTTTCCAATCGAATAGCTACGTGGAATTCACGCTTTAAAGGTATAATTATGTGATTCTTGTGTATTATGCATGTGATCCTGATTTAGGTGCGTATGAGTATGATTCGTGAAATTCCGCTTATAGTACCTAAAGTCCTATAGTGGTATCAGTTAGCCTCTTGCATGAACACGCTTGATTATAATAATACGATTATTTGAAATCCATGTTCATAATTTTATAATCAATTAAGAGGGAGAATAAATTTAATTATGGTTCAATTATTATATTAAATGTGACATAACTCTTGAAATTGATTAAATGTGATTTAATTTGCTCAAAATAGTCTAGAAAGGACCGAAAATTTGCCTTAGATTGCTCGAAATTTTTGAACACCCCTAACCCTAATTTTGAATTTTTCGAAAATTATAGCCCTAAATTTTGATTTTTGTGCTTGTTTTTGATTAAATTCGATTTATTTTATGTTTCATAATTTTATGCTTAAAAATGTTTTGTGTATGAGCATCAATTTAATTTTAAGAGTTAGAATTAAATTGGGATTAATTTTATCAAGAACCCTAATTTTAAATTTGAATAGGGATTTAATTTAAATTATTGGCCTAATTTAATTTATTTGAACAAAAGTTGTTTTAGTTTAATTAAAAACTTTTCTTAAAAAAAATTATTGTAAGTGGCCAGCAGCCACGGCTAGGTGGCGCATCCACGGTGGGTACCGACCGGTGTCAGTCCAAGAGGGAGGGGAGGGGAGGGCAGGCGGTCCGGGAGTGGCTGGGCAGCAGTTGTGCAAGTGTTGCACGCTGTTGCCGTGGCTGCTGGTGCTGCTGCTCACTACTGCCCTTGTGGTAGTGGCTGCTGAAAAGCGGCCAGTCACCGTGGCTAGCTTCGACTACCCAACCACGGTGGCCAGCGGCGTGGCACGGTTTTTAAAAAAAATAAAATATTTTGTTTTATATATTTTCAAAATAAAATCAGATTTTATTTTAGAGATAAAATCAAATTTACAAAATTGTTAAATTTGGTGATTATCCATAATTAAAGTTGTTAATTTTGGATAGGATTTGTTAAGATATTTTGAGCATATTTTAATAGGATAATAATTGATTTAAATAATGTGATTATCCCATAATTAGATTAGGAAATAATTGATTTTAAAATTATTTGATTGGCTAGTAATTAGGATAGAATCTCCTAAATTAGTTAGGATAATCATGGAAAATAAACATGATTTATCTTTCCATATTAAAATAAGATTTGATTCTATCTCATGCCAAATTTAAAATATATGATATTTTATGGATGGCTATGAATAATATGTGATATTATGTAATTATGAATTAAAATATGAGATATTTTAGGAATTGTGTTTCCTTAATTGTGAACGTTCGATGTTGAGTGATTAATTATATGGCACTTTTATATAATATATGATATTATGTTGCTATATATAGACTAGTATGGCCCATAGATTCTAAATACTATCTGGCTCTGCACATCGTAATGTATTTTTGTAATCTAAATACGGTCTCCGTACTGTTAAGTATTTTTTGGAACCTAGCTTTTTTATTTTAAGTAAATAGATTAGTTATTTAAATAGTCTAGTCCAAAGAAGCCCTTGAAGTGAAGGCCCAAAGGAGCAAGGTGGATGGAGATCCATGAAGGTTCAAGTGGGAACTTTACAATTCTAGTTTTCTTAGGACTAAGGGGCCATACTATGTCATGCTTATTTTATGCATTTGTAGATTATGCATGCTAGATTATATTTATGTTGATTGATGAAGCACTAGAGTTCACTAAATAATCACAACATAATAAATCTAGGTCCCAGTAATATTGAGATTGTTTTTCCAATTAGATACCCAACAACCCTTCGATCGTGAGTGATGGGTCTGCCTCCGTAGGGTGTCACTTGTTATCTTAGGTAATTTGGGGTAGATCACGTTTTACACATTTAATTGGTTGTGCTTAACTAGGTTACCTAAAGCGTTTAGAACCTTGAAGCAAAGGGTAATAATTAAACATGTGATGGTTAATTATTCAACCAAGAGTTACAAGAGTTGTAATCAGTAAAGAGTTTACTTACCTTGAAAACGTAATGCTTGATGGTAGGGCCTCAGTCCGGTCAACTATTACACAAATAAAGGATCTTGGAATCACTTAATTCAATTAGGATCATTTAATTATTGAATAAAGTGCTTTAAAGTAATCTATTTAATTCGTTTATGGTACTTTAATTTTAATTAAACATAATTATTGAACTTTGCCTTATTTCTTTCATAGATGGGTAACCGTAATAATGACAACAATATTTATAACTTACGACCATTCTTTGAGAAGGATAAGTTGACAAGAGACAACTTTTCCAACTCGTAAAGAATGCTGAGACTTGTTCTAAAATCTGAAGGTAGAGAGGATGTCATTGACACTCCATAGCCTGCACCTTTTCCATAAAACGCAACTGAGGCTCAGAAGCGTAGGCATAAGGAGACTCTTGATATATTTATGCCACTTGTTTGATGATAGATACTATGGAGCCTGGCCTTCAAAAGCGTTTTGAAGACCAAGATGCATACACCATATGCAAGAACTCAAAATCTTGTTTAAGAAATAGGCACAAGTTGAGAGGTACGAGCTCCATCGAGAGATTTTGGATTATTAGATGGATAAGGGTGCAACATTTCATGATCATGTTTTCAAAATGATTGGCCTTATTCAAAATATATATGGAGAAACTGGGTCACCCATACAACAATGAGATGGATACGGACATCATTTTCCACTCACTTTTAGAGTCCTTTAATCAGTTTATCATAAAATTTAATATGTCTGATGCTAAAAAGACTATGAATGAGTTGCATGTTATGCTAGTTAGTGTAGAGAAGAAAATCCCTAAGGACGTTAAGAAAGTGGTTCTTATGGTTCGGAAAGGGAAGGGGTTCAAGAAGAAGGGGCAAGGGTCAAGTGCCAAGAGAAAGGGAAAGAAAGTTGCCAAGGCTCCTGAAAAGCCCAAGCTTGCAAGTGAAAGTGAATGCTTTTATTGCAAGAAGAAAGGGCATTGGAAGCGCAACTTCGAGAAATATCTTGACTACCTTAAGAAGAATGGAGCATCAACCTCAGGTAATATGTTATGAACATTTTACCTTTCACTTAGGTATGTGATACCAAGTTGTAGTGCTAACATTGTTCATGTTGTGCAGAAGCTGCAAAGAATTGAGGCTGGCTTGGAAATGGAGCTTAAGGGTGCATGAGAAGTGTTCAAGTGACAAGGAAAGGCTTCATAGTTATAATTTATGATTAATTTATGATGATTTTAGACTTATTTTCGGTTTTGATAAGACAATATTTCAGCTTTTGTTTGAAATATAGATTAATTTACTTGGCATGGACAAGTGTTGATCTATGACAAGGTTTGATTGTTTTCATTTTGTTAGCTATGAGTTAATTTTGTTTTATGACATTGATATAAGTAGATCACAAAAGCAAAAATCAAATGATTCAAAACAAACCTACTTATAACAAAGTAAGGTTAGATCACATAAAACCAATTGTGCATCCAAAATTACAAATGGATGGACTCTAATCCTCGTTTGATTATGAATCATTTGAGAATTATGAATCATGCTTGTAAGGAAAGATGACTAAATTGACTTTTAGTTGAAAGGGTGAAGGAGCTAATAACCTTTTGGAACTCATACATATGGATACAAACTAAGGACAAAAGCTAGATATAGATTTAACTATTTCATTACTTTTACTGACGATTTATGTAAATATGGCTATATCTACTTAATGAAGTAAAAGTTGGAACCATTGAAAAGTTCAAGGAATTCCAGAATGAAATACAAAATCAGTTTGAGATAAACAATAAAAACACTATAATATGATTGTTGTGATAAATATTTAACTCAAAATTAATGATCATCTGGAAATTGTGGAATTGATTCACAAATCAAAGGAACACCATAAAGTGTGTTAGAAAGCAGGATTCAAACCTTGCCTGCCATGGTTCGATCCAAGATTAGCTTTAATGATTTACAAATATCGTTTTAAGGATATGCATTAGAACAAAAATTGTGAATATACTAAACAGAAACCCAACCAAAGCAGTTGAGAAGATGCCATATGAGTTATGGACTAGAAACGTTCCAAAGTTGTCTTTTCTAAAAGAATAAGGGTTAGGAAATCTATGTAAAATGTTTACAAAGTGACAAAATAGACCCTAAATCAGATAAATGTTTCTTCATGGGTTATCTCAGAGAAACAAAAGGGTATTACTTCTACAATCGCGTAGATAACAAAGTGTTTGTTGCTCGCAATGGTGTCTTTATAGAAAGAAATCTCTTTCTACAAAGCCAAGTGGGAGTAAAGTGGCTCTCGAAGAGATTCGAGACGAGCAACAAATGGATGTGGATAACACTACATCAGAGGTGAAGGCACATGAGTCAGCTAATTTGACAAATCATGTGTCGGAGCAAGCTAATTCAACTAGTGAAGCTCATATCGTCCCACTAGAGTGAAAAACTTCAAAGAGTTGAAGGAAACAATTCTATTGTTGCTCATACCCATAGTAGGCAGTTCAGAATCAAAATAACAAACAGTTTGTTGAAATTCTGATAAAATGGGGATTCAAAAATTTTCTCATTGGAATGTGTGGAACTCACAGCCTACAAGCAAGCTTTGATAAGCACCAACTTAGGAAATGACTTAAGGCCATAAAATCCAGAATGGAATCTATATCTAAATATGATGTGTTAGTACTTGATAGACTTGCACATGGTTCAAACCCATCGGTTGCTTAAGTCTATTCGGATTCTTCTAGCGAATGGTAATTTTTTTATTACGAAATTTGGCAATTGGATGTCAAAACCGTCTTCTTGAAATGTTCTTGACGGAGGATGTGTATATTACACAACCTAAAGGTTTTGAAGATCCAAAAAATCCTAGAAACTTCAGGAATTCGTTTATGGATTGAAGCAAGCATTATGAAGTTGGAACATTCGTTTCGACGACGCAATCAAAGAATTTAATTTCCTTAAGGGCAAAAAAGAACCTTGTGTATACAAGAAGTTTAGTGGGAGTAATCTGATTTTCTTAGTCTTATATGTAGATGGCATACTGCTCATAGGAAATGACATACCAATGCTTGAGTAAGTAAAGTAATGGTTAAGGAGTTGTTTCTATATGAAAGACTTGTGAGATAAAGAATCATCGAGAAAGGTCTCGAAGGATGATTGGACTAAATAAAGAGAATTATGTTAATAAGGTTCTTGACAGGTTCGAGATGCAAGACTCTAAGAGAGGATTTATTCCCATGTTTCATGGTATTACGCTCAGTAAAACTCAGTGCCCTCAAAAGCCAAAAGAGTTAAGTCGTATGGATGATGTACCTTATGCTTTTGTAATAGGGTTCATTAGGTATGCCCTGATATGTACAAAGATGGATGTTGCATATGCCTTGTGCATGTGTAGCAGGTTTCAATTAAATTCAGAATAAGCACACTGAAAGTTGCTAAGAACAAATCCTTGAGTACTTGAGAAGGACTAAAGGAATGTCTCTAGTTTATGGTGGTAAACGTGAATTAGTTGTCAAAGGTTATACGGATGCAAGTTTCCAAACGGACGAAGATGATTTTAGATTTGGATCTAGATACATTCTCTGTCTGAATGAAAGAACAATGAGCTTGAAGAGTTCAAAGAAGAGCACTGTCGCAGACTCCATAACAGAATATGAATATCTAGCTGCAATAGAAGCAGTTAAGGAGGAAGTTTGGATCAAGTTGTTTTTTTTTTCTTTTTTTTTGGTAAATAGAGAATTTTATTACCAAAAGCAAAAGGTTACAACTTACAAAAAGCTAAGTTGAAACCAACCCACACACCACAAGACCCTTAGGGCCAACTAAACACCCTCCATACAACGCAAGACTCAACCAACACCTAAAGACAGAAAAAGGAAATGACCACCTTCTAGGAAGGGTTCCTAAATCTTCAAGCTGCCCACCCAAACTACACCAGGAACCACTGCATCCACCTTCTAGGAAGGGTTCCATAGCAGGAACCTGAACAACAAGAGCATACACAAAAATTAGACTTCAGGTACAAGCAACCTGTAATAGAATCAGACAAAAAGACAGACTAGAGCTAACAGTACAAAAATTATACAATCAAATATTTCATGCTTGCCTTAGAGCACCTACAAGTTGTTATAAATACAATATCTCTAACTAATCCATCAACAGCTTTGCAGCTCCCTGTGAACAAAATTGAATTCCTCTAAATCCAAATGATGTGAACAGTTTCAGTTAAAGCTATTTGTTGCAGCTTACTCTTAATACTGGACTTCCTGCAGTTCCTCTTTAGTCAATCAATTTCACCATCAAATCTCTGTACAGGTTTAGAAATCTGCAACATATTCAAGATTTTACCCCCAAACCTGTCTTGAGTAATCACAGTCAAAGAACAAGTGTTGAACGCTCTCATTCTCTTTCAAACAGAAAAAACACTTAAGATAACCATGAAATATGCCATTGCAGTAGCCTGTCCTTAGTGACTAGTCTATTCCAGAGAGCCAACCATAAGATGAAAACACTCTTAGGAGTTGCCAAGTTATTACAGGCAACTCTTTTCCATGCTAGGTTCTACTTGGGGCTGTTGCCTTGGTTCAGCTTGCTGGGTTTAAGTGAATAGGTTGTTTTTTTGCTGTTCTTGGTTTTATTACTGGTTGTTGTCCTGTTCCTTTGGTCGGGGGTGCTCCTCCTAGAGGGTAGCCCTCTTCCTTTGAGTTCAAGGAGCCTTTTTTGTGGTCCTTGTCACAAAGGAACCCTTCCTAGAAGGTGGCTTTTGGTTCCGGGACCTCTGGCTTGTGTTTTGTTGCCCTTGGGCTTGTAGTCATTGGTGGGCGGTTTTCGCCTTGTGGCCTTGTGGGCTTTTTTCTTATGGTAATGTTATTTTTATTTACCAAAAAAACTTCTCTTCCATGCCACCTTAGGAGCTTGGGGTCTAATGGCAACATATATCTTCTTGATTTTCATCCTATATTGCCCTAAGTAAAGCCATCCTAGCCACCCAAGTCATTCACAATGTCTTTGCAACTTAAGATTTTCTTCAAAAACCAGGAATAGGGGCAGTCCAACAATTTTTATTTTTGACATTATAAATATGCACTCACTTGACCCACAAATTGTCAGCCTTATGAGCAATATCCCAAAGAAGTTTTGTGACAACAGCCTTGTTCCATTCTAGAAGAGACATCATGTTCTAGCCACCACAAACCTTAGGAAGACAGATATTATTCCAAGCAACCAAAGATTTCCTAGAAAGAGCAGAAGAACCAGTTCAAAGAAAGCATCTGAACCTGGCTTCAATCTCCCTCAGAATTTTCTTAGGTAAGATGAAAATTTGAGCCTAGTAGGTCTGAATACCAAACAAGACACTCTTAACTAATTGGAGTTTGCCAGCATAAGAAAGATGTTTTTCCATCCATCCAATAATTCTTGCTGTAACCTTCTCAACTAAGGGCTTATATTGAGCAATAGTAAGCTTCTTAGAAGACAGAGGAACCCCAAGATACCTGAAGGGAATGGCCCCTTGAGCAACCCCAAGCAGCTCCCTAAGAGCAGTTTGAACATCAGCAAGAACCCCGCTAAAGTAGACTTCACTTTAATCCAAATTAGCAAAGAGTCCAAAAGCATTAGAAAACTTGGAAAAGGCCTGAAAAAGCAACTTAACAGAGATATCATCAGCTCTAGAGAACATAAGAAAGTCATCAGCAAACATCATATGAGGTAGGCATAGTTTTCACATCTAGGGTGAAAATTAAAGTTAGGGTTCAGGCTAAGCTCATAGAGGCATTTGGACAGGTATTCCATGCCTATAACAAAAAGGAAGGGGGACATGGAATCACCTTGCCTGAAACCCTTCTTAACTTCAAAGGGAGGGGCTGGAATACCATTTATAAGAATTCAATATGAAATTGAAGAGAGAAAATTCCAAATCCAAGCAATAAAAGTCTGAGGGAAGCCCAACTCTTTCAAAACAGATATCAGAAAGCTCCATTCTACTCTAGTCATAAGCTTTCATCAAGTCAACTTTGATCAAACATCTAGGGGTGATAAATTTATGATTATACCCTTTAATCAGCTCAGTTGCAAGAAGATTATTATCACCAATATGTTTTCCAGGAATGAAACCTGCTTGAGCATCATCAATGACTTCAAT